CACAAACATCTGCCCCCACCGGGATTCGAACCCGGGACCTCTCGAGTCGGCGACACCATGAAACCCGGCGTACAAACCACTCGGCCACGGAGGTCGTCATTTCATATTATTTTCTAAGCAACGATTTCTTTATAAGGACTTTCTACAAAGTATAAGATAACTTTAAAAACAAATTAAATTGGTAAAGTCGTTCCTAAGTTATGGCGTGACCTAGGGAAATAGCGACTCAATATATATATGTATGTATGTTTGTATGTTTATTATAGACCGAGTCTATATATTAGTCGGATAAATGTATTTTCAATGTAACCTCGCTCAACAATGTGCATTAATTCTTTGAATTGTACATAAACAGATATCGACTCCACGGGAGCCGTGTGCGACACCTAGTAGGTCCCGACTAGCCAGGTGCCGTGGCGAACAAATAAGCCCCCAGCCGACTCGCGCGCCAAATTGCCCGTGCAGCGATCAGACGCACCACTAAGGTCTCCGCTCACGTGTTAAATCCTTCAATTTATACGCTTCTCTTTAACAGTTAACCCCACTTAATACTCGCGAATACAATTGTATTACCTAAGGATAAACTTTTGATATGGACACTGCATTGCATAAATCATATCTAGCAGACATAAATGTATTTGAATATTTTTACCAAAATGTAGAGCACCGTCACGTTGCGTGCTTCACTTTAGATTACCTGAAACAAAACAAATTAAATGTAAAAAAGAGACATCACGATAAGTTAATGCAAATAAATTATTACATACTATTTAATTCCAATTCCCTGTCATTTCCGTTTTCGTATGCCCCAAGGCTCCACCCGCTTCGGACAGGACGTTAATTAGAAAATTATGTGGGAAATTATTAATAGGTCCACCGTGTAGCCGATTAGATAACAAACTAGTCCATTAGTAGACAAGGATAAACCTTTTCGTGCGCCGTTTACGCATTGTATTATAATCGTTGGGGGTATTGTGTTAAGGTGCATATTGGGTGCGATAAGGTTGATTGAAAAGGACCTCGGAGCAGTGGTGGAGAGATAAAGCAGTAGCGAACAATACGGCGTGCATCGGTCCGGTCCGGGGGCGGAGTGACGCGTGGTTGAGGAATCACCAGCCAACTGGAAATGACGACTTAATGGATTATATGTGTCCACCGACACCGAGATAAGTGTCGCGCCGGTATCGGGCCTGTCGCCGGAGATTAGGCAACGAAATTACAAAAATTAATAATATAATGGAAATCAACGGAACGGTTTTACACGCCGATGGAGCCGTCCGATAAAACGAATTAAAATCGAACGTGTACGCATTCCCTACCTTGGTGGATCGACGTCGTTATTATTTCTGGGATCTGTTTTAAATTGGGTCTGCCTTCCCCTACTGAGGACTGTATGTCATAAAAAGGCGAACGGAGCTTGACTTTAAATTAGTTTTTCTCGTAGAACTTTTCTTTTCAAAATAAAACCAAATTTGCCAGATTATTTGCATGCATTTTGAAACCTTTTGAGTAAAAACAACCCACTTCATAAAAACAAAAGCACTAAAAAGTAAGATCTACCATTTAAAGTCAAATTAACATTTGGAGTCGGTGCCATGCATATTGATACATCTGAGTTGCCATTTACTGCTTGGGTTGGCATGGCACCGACTCCAAATGTCAATTTGACTTTAAATGTAGATATAACCTCCTGACACCCAAGCATTTACTAAAATCTCTTGCCACTATGGTCGAATGTACCTTTTTTTTTTTTTAACGCAGTTTGGATGAGCCAAACAAGAAAAACTTATCAAAATAGGTCAACAAAATTCGAAAATATGTGCGGAAAACTAAAAAAAAAATGACGAATTGAGAACCTCTTCCTTTTGGAAGTCAGTTGAAAATGGGTTTCGTGCGTCGGAATTGGACATAATAAAAGACATGACAAAATTTTTGGTTTATCCATGAACTGGCTCATTCATCCAAAACTTATAAATATATGCAATATTTAATTAGATTAGAATAACAAAAAAACTTGATCATTTCACAAAGTTCTTAAAGATAAAAAATATCATTTTTGGCTTAATTTTTGCCCGCCTTTTTCATGAATCACAAAGGCAACTGACCCACATCAAACATATGTACCCACGCAACAATCCAACAGCCCAGACAGTTGCGTGTCGACGTGAAGCACCGTAAATTGAATACGAGTATTTCGTTATAACGTCTGTCGGCCAGCCCTCGAAATGCACATTAAATAGCGCCACAATAAGCGGCGATTTACCGGCAATCTATTCTTTTATAAAGGCAGGACAAGAAACGCCTCACCACTTACGACAAAAAGTCGAAGGAGAAAATCTCCCGCTGGCCCTTTGTGCGGGACGTATCTAGGCGCGATGTGGACAAACGACCCGTGGGACCCGATTTGAAATATTGAACCGGTGTCATAGTAGGACGGACGCGATTCCCATTACAAAGCCATTTGCGCTGTTTACATAAAAGAGGAGGGCCGCGAACGCCTCGCTCTCTAGTTGTGCGATTGCGAATTTTCCGGTGCCTGCGTGTCAAAGGATATAATTTATTGCAATTGAGATATAGCGGCCGCATCGGGCATCGAGCACCAACACCTCACATAAATAGCGCCAGCGACGGACGCTCCAGCCGTCCTCTTATCATCTCGACCAAACAAAATTATGATCACGACTATTAGCTTGTATTCAGCCAATTATTCATCATCCCAACATACCCAGTCTCTTCTTAATATTATCTTACTGAAGTGATTATTTTGTAAAGTTGCATGAATAACAACATTACGACTTTATATACATTATGTGGCCTACACAATCTTCGCTTAAGATATAAACAAAATTAAGCAATCATGTGGTACCTACACAATATTCGCTTACAAAACAAAATTAAGCAAATTCCTTCCATACGCTAAGCCCAACCAAAGCCTTCAATAATTAGAGTACATTGTCATAGTTCAGGTAAAGAACGCTCTTTTGTTTCGTGGCACGTACTCCATTTTTTGCAAACGCAGGTGAGAAACATGAAACCTCAATAGACCATGTCCGAATTATAAATGATCCAACACAAAGGAAATAAGTTGCGAACGAACGCCCGAAAATATGCACTTTTAAATTTATTACTTTTTTTTCGTCTCCCTTGGCAAAAAATTCCAAAGAGTATCTAATAACAGGAATAAGCAAAACGACGTTTAAGTTGTTGGTATAAATCAAGGGATCGCGCAGTCTAAGCTCTACAGTAATTTGTTTAATCAAACGGTGTTCGACAAATTGGCGGCTTCACAAAATGCTTAATGTGCAGATGTTTAATTTGATGAGACGTCTGGTTTCCGAATGGTGGGAAATTATATCAAAATCGTTTAACTTAAATAAAAGTGAGCATTATGTTTCCAGAAAGTCCATTTGTGGATCGCGTGATCAGAATGTGAAATTTAGACACAATTACAATACGTTGGATTTGAGATAATTTTTACCAAAAAAAGCAGTAGCTTACGTAGCGATTATATATATTTTTTAATATAGAGGTTATTAATAACTAGCAAAACAGTGAACCAAATGTTCACCAAAACCTGATTTCTCGAAAACCGGAAGTGCTACGTTACTCAAATCCGGTTTGTAGTCTTATCAGACTATTCTTAACTTATAACTTAAACATTCTCTTTATCTATCTCTTACGGTTTGGCCGCTGAAACAGCACCACGGACGGACGGACTTGTCTATTAGATAAGAGACTAGCAAACCAGTGAATCAAATGTTCACCAAAAAAATGTATTTAATTAATTGAGAACTTTGGAGATTTTGTGTGGTTTCGTTTGAAATAGAAATCACGTGATTTCTCGAAAACCGGAAGTGCTACGTTACTCACATCCGGTTTGTAGTCTTATCAGACTATTCTTAACTTATAACTTAAACATTCTCTATATCTATCTCTTACGGTTTGGCCGCTAAAACAGCACCACGAACGGACGGACGGATGGACTTGTCTAATAGATAAGAGATACCTCCTTTTTTGCAACAGTTGAATATAAATAAAAAAGTGGTTTGAAAGTGCAAAATTCCGTCTTTTATTGGATTAATAATAGAGATCTCGGTTTTCCTACCTTGTAGGTATATTAAACTAGCACGTGATTTAAATATTTCCATACTTTGGATACGCTACTAATGAAATTGGTAACAAAACAGTAAAATTTTCTACACAAGTAAGTACAAGTAAAACGTCAATCAAAAAATAAAATTGAAATATGCCCTCAACTCCTTTAAGAGTAAGTACTTGATTATATAATATACTCGTAAAGCTACAAGAGAACGTAAAAACAATTATTTACATGTTATTGGTTTATCAAGTAAATGTTAAATAGCACAGTTATAAATAGTATTTGTAAAAGTACAAATATTTTACAATATGCAGAAAACAGCATCGTGGCGGTGTAGAAATGGAACAAAAAATTAATTTGACCTAACTATGACCTAAGATGTAGTGTCCCTTGTACTACGATCCCCGTAAGAGATAAATGAAGTGAAACTATGTATAAAATAAAGACATGAAATATTCATAAAAATATCTTGTAATACATATTCATTATGATTCACCTTAGTAGTTCCATATAGCAACAAATACCTAATAAGTTTAACTTAATTAGTGATTTCATTAATGATAGTAAAGCACTATCAAATGTCAACAATCGTCAAATGTCCGCAATACAATTCTATCAACGAGAGTGTTAACAAGCAGTGACTGCGGCAATGCGCCAGCGCACTACCTGGCCAGCTGCCACGAGCCCCCACCAAGCTCTCCTATAGCACTTCTTACCCCGCGATCATCCCTCTGTCTCACTCGCACATATCATACGAAAGCTATTTCGAACGCTACAAAAAGCGGTTTCATTCTCTAGTGTGGTGTTTCGGATGTCTGTGTGCGTAAACTGTATTTTTCTGACGGGCTGAACGTGAAGGTGATAAAGCTTTACAGAGTGCGCTAAGACGGGCACTTACTACGTTCTTGGTTCGCGCGCTATGTTACCTGTTGGAACGCGTGAACCAGCACGGCCTTGTGCGCGAGCGCACCGCAGGTTCGACTCGAAGTCAGTTCCACCCCAGACTACGGCACGAACGCCCGTGTTGCGTTCACTTACACTGTGAATCCAACAACACGATCCTGTCCAATTAGTGTTCCCGCGAGAAACGAGTTAAGTGGCCGGTTCGGCAAGTGAAGTACTCAGCCAAAGAGAGAAATGGACTGATGTGCGCGTTCGGTACGATGTTTATGTGCAATTTAAGTGCGAGCTAATGCAAAATGAAACTATGTAATAAGTGAAGTTTGTGAAATAAAAACAATGTGTTCAGCGTGTATCACACGCGTGCTGCTGGTGCTCAGCGCTGTTTTGACAGCGTGGAGCGCATCTCTGTCGGCGACTACAGGGGCTCGCTACCAAGCTCCTGATGAATGTCGTTGGACGACGGACGACGACGGTTCAGGAGTTGCACTTTTGTGCAGACTGAGGACTATAAATAGTGAATTAGAAAACACAAACTTTAGTGCAATTCAACCGCATCTTACTGTTAGGTTGCACCTCGAGTGCAGTGATGCATTGCTATTCCAAAGCTCACTATCACCCGGCAGTTTTCGACAACTGGTTGAACTGCGAGAACTTACTATAGAGTATTGCAAAATCGGAAATCTTTCCGATGGAGCTTTTACCGGTCTTCGCGAACTGAGAAACTTGACGATAAAAACTCACAATACGGAATGGTCTACTATGTCACTTGAAATAACATCAACAGCATTCACGAGAGATGTACAAAATCTCGAGAGATTGGATCTGAGTGAAAATAATATGTTAACGTTTCCCGAAGGTGCACTATGCACTCTGAGAAATCTCGAATATCTCAACATGACGGGAAATAGAATGAGAGATATAAGTCATTTCCAATTCTCAACAGCTCATCGCCACCCAACGGAAAAGTGTGGAGACAACCTAACAATTTTAGATCTTTCACGTAATATTATAGATACACTTCCACCTAGTCTTTTATCTGGACTGAGAAGACTGAAAAAAATATATTTCCAAAGTAATAGAATGAATTCAATCGCAGATAAGGCACTGGAAGGGTTAGTTTCATTGACTACGATAAAATTTTCTGACAATCAGTTAACAAGCCTACCACCAGAACTTTTTAGTGACACTAAAGAATTAAGAGAAATATATTTGAACAACAATACCATTACTGTATTAGCACCGGGATTATTCAGTGATCTTTATCAATTATTGGTTTTGGATTTATCATACAATGAACTTACATCAGACTGGATAAATACCTCAACATTTTCTGGATTGAAACGCCTGATATATTTAGATTTTTCCCATAACCGAGTGTCGAAAATGGAAATTGCGTTATTCCGAGATCTACATAACTTACAGATACTAAAAATGCAGGAGAATTTTATAGAGCATATTCCAGAAAATGTATTCAGTTCACTAGGCAATTTGCACACATTAATTTTATCGAACAATAGACTGACAAACATTGAGAGCTACGCATTTACCGGCCTGCAAGCATTGTCCGTGCTGTCTATAGACAGCAACCGCATATCTAAAATACACCCACATGCATTACGCAATTGCTCTTCGTTACAAGACCTGCATATTAATGGAAACAGGTTGGATGAAGTCCCTACTGCTTTAAAAGAAATACCACAGTTGAAAACCCTAGACTTGGGGGAAAATTTAATTGTAAGCATAGAAAATGCTTCTTTCATGACAATGAAACAAATGTATGGATTAAGACTCACAGAAAATAACATCGGTAACATAACCAAAGGAGTTTTTGACAGAATGACTTCCCTAAAAATACTGAATTTGTCAAGAAACAAAATTCAAAGAATTGAAAGCGGCGCTTTCGATGCAAACGTTAATTTGCAAGCAATCAGACTGGATGGAAATTCCTTGAAAGACATAAGAGGTCTCTTTGTCAATCTTCATAATCTTGTATGGTTAAATATTTCTGATAATCAGTTGGAATCTTTTGACTACGCCATGATACCAACAGGATTGCAGTGGTTAGACATTCACGCCAACAGAATAGCTGAACTGGGAAATTACTTTGAAATTGAATCGCGGTTATCACTCAGTACTTTTGATGCTAGTTCTAACCGACTTACAGAAATTACAGGCAGCGCTATACCAAACTCTGTAGAAATGTTATATTTGAATGACAACTTAATTTCAAAGGTGCAATCATACACATTTTTCAAAAAACCTAACTTGACTCGAGTGGATTTATATGGGAACAAAATAACAAACTTAGATCCAAATTCATTGAGAATTTCAGCTGTACCGCAAGATAAATCTGTGCCAGAATTCTTTATTGGCGGGAACCCATTAGAGTGTGATTGCACAATGGAGTGGCTTCAAAAAATAAACACTGGGAACAGAGCAAGAACTCAGCCAAAATTAATGGACTTGGACAGCATAAATTGTAAATTACTTTATAATCGTGGCAGTACGCATGTAGCTCTATTAGACGCCGCTCCTCATCAATTTTTATGTAAATATGAATTTCATTGCTTTGCTCTGTGTCACTGTTGTGATTTTGATGCATGTGACTGTGAAATGAGTTGCCCTAATAATTGCACATGTTATCATGATCAGTCGTGGTCAGCAAATGTAGTAGAGTGTTCGAACGCCGGCTACGTGAACACGTTACCAGAGAGAATACCGATGGAGGCCACGCAACTGTACCTTGACGGTAACGACATTAAAATGCTTCCGAGTCACGCTTTTATCGGTAGAAAGAGACTAAAGATACTTTTTTTGAACTCATCAAACATCGAAACTATTCATAACCGGACATTCAATGGATTGAGAGAACTCGAAGTGCTGCATTTAGATCACAACAGTCTTACTACGATAGAAGGACAGGAATTTGGTGGATTGGATAATTTGCGAGAACTTTACATAAACAACAACAAAATAAAACATATTGGAAAGGAAATGTTTAACCATATGTCCCGACTTAAACTACTACATATACATAATAATAGACTGATAACATTATCAGTATGGCAAATCAATCCAGCGATAACAGAAATCACACTTTCTTATAATCCATGGTCATGTGATTGTGAATATACGGAAATGTTCCGAGAATGGACGAAACGAGTTAATTCTATAGTAGACCAGTTAAACATAAAATGTATATTCACGAAAAATAACAATACCGATTTGGTGGTCTACAATGAAAGCATGTACGACAACCCTCATTCCGGTTTTAATATTATATATGAAAATGGTACTATTTGCACGGGACTGCCAAGTATAAACAACAGTATTAATGGCAATTTGACGGCTACAAAAACCATAATCACTAACGAAGAGGTACCAGATTACATTCCGCTGCTTGTAGCAACTCTGGGGGCATTTTTACTCGTGTCATTTGTGAGCATGATTGTCTTTATATTTAGACAAGAGATGCGAGTGTGGTTTCATTCAAAGTTTGGAGTTAGATTGTTTTATAGAACAAGTGACATTGATAGAGATGACCGTGAAAAGATGTTCGATGCGTTTGTGAGCTATAGTTCTAAAGATGAAGCTTGGGTGACGGAGGAGTTGGCTGCAGTGCTAGAACGCGGAGACCCCTCATATAAACTCTGCCTGCATTACAGAGATTTACCCGTAGGCGGTTACGTCGCCGATAACATAGTGCAGGCTGTGGAATCATCGCGCCGTACTATAATGGTGCTCAGTGAGAACTTTATAAGAAATGAGTGGTGTCGGTTCGAGTTCAAATCGGCTCATCATCGCGTTTTGAGAGATCGCCGGAGAAGACTAGTGGTGGTTTTGTACGGTAAAGTGCCTCAGAAGGACCTAGATCCTGACTTAAGACTGTATTTGAAGACGAACACTTGTCTTCAGTGGGACGATAAGTTGTTTTGGGAGAAGTTGCGATTCGCGTTACCGGATGTGTCGGGTAATCAGAGGTGTAGAGGCGTTCCGAGTCCGGGGGGTGTCGCTATGCACAGGCATCACCACGCTCGCAACCACTTAGGTGCCTTGCCACCTCCCCCTGTGCACGGAGCACACCCTGTGCTACCTCCTCATCCTTCACACGTCCCTCACCAAGTGCCACCGCGTGCCTCACCTCGTACTATGTCCGTCCATGTATGAAAAGTGTCAGAACTACAAAAGTGAAGTGAAGTGATAAGTACTCCATAAAAAGTGTGAAAACGACTGTTAAAAATGTGATGGCTAGTCTGCGTACGTATGTATTGTAAATATGTTAATGAATAAGTGAACATAATGTAAATACGCTTAATTTTAATATAGCTGAAACTGCATACACTAAAGTTAGCTGTTACATTCGTTAATTTGCTACAAATACGCCATTTTGAAAATAGTTTGGTAAATTTCATTTTTGTGTAAGATTTGAAGCAATTTTGATTTGTATACTAAGTATGTAGATATATTTTATTAGGCCTTTTCAGGCTGTGTTTCCATGGGCAAAACTTGCCGTTTACTATTAATGTGACTTAAAATGGCATCATTGCCACTATCTGTGATAAAACATAGTTGTAATTTAGTATTTGTAGGATAACATCCCAACAATGTATATTTTGTACTTTAGTCATATAAAAATATTTATTGTAAATATTTTCCAAAATTGACTGTGTCAAAAAGTGATAAAGTAAAATAAAACATGAGATCAAACATAACATGATGTATTTCTATTAAATGTACCCACCCTATCGTCCTCAATAACGAGGTTAGTTACGTATGACTCAAATTTTATAGTAAACAGTTTTAACATTTTATTTAAACATCATTAGCGTATACATAATTATAATTAGAACAATAAAATATGAATTTCTATTGCATAACAACGGAAAACTACAAAATAACTTTGCTATAATATACTTACTCACACATTAATATTAAAAAACAAACTGAATTATGGATGTTTGTGTCCTTCATATTTATTAGTAAATTTAGCACTATGAACTAAGCGAATACATACGATAAAGTAATATTTATTTACTTATTTCCTTATACCAGCTAACTGTTTGTCACATAAAACTTAATAGTTATGGAATTTAGTTTCTAATAATCATCAATTTAATTTAAAACAGTAATATTTTAAATCGAATACACCTAAAGAGTAGGTAATTTACTGTTTCATTTTTACTTTCCTCATATAAGATCTGATTTTAGTACAATTTTCATCATTCATAAACATTACTACGCCAACATAATTACATATTTTTGTTTTACCTTTCTAAGAAATCTAATTGTAGTTGTGTAATTACACAATTAAGCACTTTAGTAAAATGTAGCATGTATAGGTAGAATATAGATAAACTAATTCTGCTATAAGTCAAACGAAAATAAATAAAATATAATAATTTTGTGAACATACAAACAGCAGTTGTGCCAAAAGTTGACAAATAAGTGATAAAGATAACCTATGTCATACAAATAAATAAATTGATATTATCAAGAAGAAACAATAGTTTATCAGTTATTAGTTTAGTTGTTTCAATATAAGTGTATGTCAAATATAATTTAGCATGCCGTAAAAATCTTCATAAACTTTTTTGTCAAGTTCAATTTGCATAAAGGACATTGTTTTGCGTCCATACATAGTTAGCCTAAGAACCAACAATCATGAAATATTATTTTCTAGGTTCGAAATCACAAGTAAATGACTGTAAAAACAAAGATTATTGACGGACACTTCTGAGAACTTAAATTATTAGGAAAACTTATTTTTTTTTGAGGTTAATAATTAAATTAATATTCAATGAAACATAGGTCAACCTATGAACTTAATATGAACTCAGTACAAAGTGAATTATTATTACAAGTAATTCATTTTATTAGGTGCGATTTTAAAGAATAACTATTAGGAAAACTTGGTTAGGTAGGAATAATGAATAAAATAAAAACAATAGTTTTGCTTCTTATTATTTATTGACTATTTTTTATATAATTGTATCATATTGTATTTATTTGTTTAACACATGTATAATGTGTAAATATTCAGCGTGAAAGTGTATCAGGTGCTCTTGAATAATTTGGCAGTATGATCCTCTCAGGATGTTGTGGCACAGGTTCACTAACACTTGGTAATAAGGTATCTGCTCTTTGGTAACATCGATGGCATATTAGATAGCCGAAATAGTAATAGTTAAATTAAAGGAAAAACAATCGCAAATAAACACACACAACAGGTTATCCGAACGAGAATTTTCCGTATATAAAAAGTACTTTTTGACACAGATTACTACGAATGCAAACTGCCTGCACCACAACCACAGAGTATCGACTTTATGCCGGCTCTTCACTTGACAACAGTTTGTCCTTGTCATGCTTAATAAGGAATGAAAGGGACAGACTGATGTCATGTTTCTAAATAGCAAATAAGAATAGCCAAGTGAAGTGCCGGCATTAGGAAGAAAGTGATTTTTATTTGCAGCGCTGTCATAGATTATACACATAAAATGGTATTTATTGTCTCAGATTATTTATTAACTTTTTAATTTAGCTTACTTAACTGGAAGTTTCCGTCACAATCTAAATACTGATAATTATCGCAAAAAATATACTAAGAATTATTATAAATGCCAAATTGGTGTTGGTTCTTAGGCCAATTTTAACATTGTCCTTTCTGTCCTTTTGGTAAAGATAAATGCCAAACAAACTTGAGGCTGATTCGCTAATAGAAAAACATTTTAATTCAATTAATCTTTTGAACCAAGTTTTACAGTACAGTAATGTGGTTAGTAAAAAATCTAATGAGTAGCTTAAGAAAAATCAAATAAGTAGCTTTAGAAAATCAAATAACAGCTTTCTTTCAATGTTTCAAATATACTAATGGAACTAAATCTTAGAAATATCAAAAGGAATTCAAATGTTTTATACTCATTTAAAAAAAGATCCGTGTAATTAAGATAAGTTCATATATAAAATGTAATTAGAAGTAAACTGACTGGGTGACATCATAATTCTACTTACTGATAAGAAATTTAATAGCACTGTAGAAACCATAAATAACTGAATTATTTTAAAATCTTATTGGTATTTGTCGAGTTCTTGCAATTAGAATTTTATAAACCTTTTTTTGATAGAATGACCTTGGAAAAGTGACATATTTATTCAATACATCAGACACGGGCAAAAGCAATAAGTAATCGTCATATTTTGCAAATAAATAGCAAGTTTTTGAAATAAATTTGAATAGAGTACTTTGATATAAGATCAACTCACATTGTTTTAAATAGTCCTGATTCGGAAAATATCAGATAAAAAAAATATCAAATACTGATCATAAAATTTTAAAAAATATTATGTCCAAAGAGATCTAAAAATTACATACGTACTGTACGTCAATAATGTAGTGGTTTTAATAATTATTTTAGCGTAATGAATAACAAATAATGATTCAAGCAAAGCTTTTTATAGATAAAACACAATATAAAATAAAAAATAAACGACGGGTTGCACTCCGGGAGTGCCGGCAGAAGTGAAAACTTGAATATTAATGTTGTGCATTTTTGATATTTTGGAATGTTTAAGGAATAATTTTGCACGTAGATTTAATTATCAGTAAAAAAGTACTATCATTTATGTGGTAGAATACAATATTTATTTATTTATTGCGCTATCGTTCACAAACATGACAATTTATATTACATCAAAAAGTTTATCTCTCAGAAAATTCAACTTACATGAATCACATTTAAGCACACCTAGCGACATCTATTGTAAAAAAATGCATTTTCTTCGCAATAAAGCTGCCACCTGGACGTCCTAATTAGAGAATTATTATTATAATACGATAAAATAAAATATTACTATGTTTCGTCCAATATATTGAAAGTCAACCTTTCCAATTTTATTGTTTTCGTCTTACGAATTTTCGATTAGGTCATGTGTCCGGACGCGATCAGGCCACGTGTCCTGACGCGAGTGTAACAGTCACTCGTCTCACTTCAAAATTAACGTTTCTATTACAAAATCACAATAACCGTATAAGAACAACACTGTAAAAAACTAAACAAAGTAATTAAAATTCCATGGGAGCTTTACTGTAGTGCATTCGCTGTTATAGGCAAATAGATAGATAGGTACGTAGGTAGATGCATTCCTCTTTTCCACTTTTTATGCAGGATCCGCAAGCCGGGCGTCGACCGCGAGCCTTCAATCTGCGGTAACAAGCTTCGCCCCGCAGCCCTAAGTAGGTGAGAAGCAACCGGAGTCATGAACAAAAGAACATTCGCCTGTTCGCGTTTCCATAACGCCGCCGCCGCCCCCGATAGTATCCAATAACAGAAATTACATACGATGCTGTTACTTCTTCTTCTTCTTCGTATTTGCTATTCGTAAATTTCACAGCAGTGTCTCTTTTTTCTGCCTTAAAGAACGCTAAAAGAATATACTTACATACTACAAAATTTAAAAAAGGAAATTATATACTAGTCATGTGAACTGCTACTATAACTTAAATATGGACATCAACAACGTCCTTGGGTTAAAAAAATATTTGCAATGAAAATGATCCTGACCATATTTTTAAATCTAAAGAAAATATTACTAGAAAAAATACACTCGGGTTTCAGACGATACCTGGAGCGAATGGTTTTTAACTAGAAATATTTTCTTTAGATTTCGAAATGAAATGAAATTTATTTTTTCACACAAAACAGAGTAGATACATTTTGGTGGTGATTTTCATTTAGTTTGTTAATTTTGCCAATATTTATATCTTAATTTAATTGTAAAATTTATAGATACTTATATCATTTTATTTATTCTATTCTAAGCCAATTTTTATTTCTTAATAAAATCTGAGTAAAAACATTTCGTTATTAGCCACATTTTAAGCTTTCTTTTAAATATAGGCAAACTAAGATCCGTAATCAAGCGTGGTAACTTATTATAGATTTTTATACAATTCGGATAGCAGTTTTTGTTGTAATATTGAGTAAATGCTTAAAAATATATAAATGTAATAATCTTGCATTATTTACCAACTCCACTCTTCCAGCTTAACTTTTGATTCGAATTCCTATCTTTAAGTTAATAACGTTAACCTTGCAATATAAAAACATTTGCAGTTTTATAAATTGTGGCAAAATAACCCAAGTTTTAACCGCGCAGTGTCAGTAAAGTACGTGCATTGCGCAGCGCACTTAGCTCATAAACACTTTTGATTAGTGTATGTAGAGTATGTAAAGACATGTAGTTAAATTAACTCATTCAATACATTTAATCACAAAATCATAACGTAACAATATAGTGAAGTTGTTAATTCGACCACCGTTATGAACACTGTCAGGCACGTAACTTAAGACAAGAAGAGAGGAAGTATATTGTTATATTTTTATTTTAATATAGATGTTTAAATGTAGAATGTCGCTATCTGAAGATGCGGGCTCAAGTCCCGTCTAAAATCAGTACCGAGTGGATTTTTTTCTAGTAAAATTATCTTTAGGTAGCATATGGTTCAAAAGAATGGAGTGAATATTATTACATTGCAATTATATTAGGATGAATGAATACTAAATCATTATTATTATAGATTTATTATTGAATACGATTATTAAATTAATTTAGTAACAAACATATAAAATGACATAATAATTTATTCTTGAACTTCTTATCTAGCTAAAAGTTACACAAAAACAATTTGGTAATTTATTGTTTATATTAGGGA